GTAGAGATGAGGTCTCGCCAAGTTGCCCAGGTGGGTCTCGAACCCGCGGGCTCAGACAGTTCACTCACCTCAGCCTCCCAAAGGTGTGGGATTACAGGCTGAGCCACCGAGCCTGGCTTGCTCGTTTTTCTAATTGAGTTGTTTGTTTATTTTTTACTGTTGGGTTTCGAGAGTTCTTTGTATACTAGTTGCCAGTCCTTTGTTGGATCTGTGGCTTACAGTGCTTTTCTCCCAGTCTGTAGCTTGACTTTTCATCTTTTTCATATGGTTGTTTACAGATCACAAGTTTTTAATTTTGATAAGATCAAACTTATCAGGTTTAACCTACATGATTGGTGCTTTTGGTGCCAAGTCTAAGAACTCTTTGCTTCGTCTTAGATCCTAATGACCTCCTTCTACGTTTTCTTCTAAAAGTCTTCTGGTTTATACTTTACATTTAGGCTTGTGGTTCATTTGAGTTAATTTTTGTATAACATGTAAGGTTTATTTAGGTTTGTTTTTTTTTGCCAATGGAAGTCCAGTTGCTCCAGCACCATTGATTAAAGAGGCCATTCTTCCGTCATTGAATTGCTTTTGCACTTTTGTCAAAAATCAATTGTGCATCCTTGTGTGAGTCTATTTCTGGGCTCTTATTCTGTTCATTGATCTATCTCTATCCCTCCACCAATACCACACTGCCTTGATTATGGTAGTACAGGGATTTTAAAAAATCCACTTTTTGACTGATTTTGTGCCAGTGCATTCCTCTTGCCACAGCCCCTGGGAGGTTGACCCCATGTGTCCTTGCCTTCCAGATCTCTACGTGTATGCTGTTCTTGTGTGCTGTGTGGGGATCCTCAGCATTCTGCTCTTCATGTTGGTCATCGTCTGGCAGTCTGTGTTTAACAAGAGGAAATCCAGAGGTAAGAAAACAGATAAGGTCATGTCTGGGAAGAGAGTGCAGCCCGACCACAGACAGGCGGAAGATGCTGGGCAAAGTATCACCTTGGTGGAAAAACACCATGAGTCAGGGATTATTTACCTGTGACTGGTGGACAAAAGTGAGCAGGAAGATGTGTTTCCCTTAGACTCTTCTAAAATACACTATGACCACTGTAGACATTGTTTAATATCCCCTCGTCTGCTCCAGAGGCCCCTTTCTGTTCGCTTTCTCTCCGAAGAGGCTGTGGAATCAGATGAGCCTGGGGCTAAATTTTGGCTATGCCCCTTAAAACTAAGGTTTTGGACAAGTTCCCGAAGCATTCTGAACATGGGTTTACTCACTTATGAAAGGAATAGATACTCCCTTTCTTAAATGGAATGTTCTCGTGAACACTGGCATGCAGGCTGGTGGCACCTCCTCCCCCTTTCTCTTCTCTCTTCCTTCTACTCTGAGCGTTCCCTTTATTCTCCTTTCTTGTCAGTGTTCATGTTTCCCCAAACTCTGTCCTTGGCCTCTTCTGCCTTATACTTTCTTCCTCAGGGGTTGTAGTTCTTGTGATTCTCATCTCCCTATGAACGCTATTTGCTTTCTCTCAATTCCCCACCTCTACCTTGACCTCGGTTTCGCATGTGCAGCAGCGTCTGTTGGAGGTCTCTTCTGAGAGTCCCTCCTTGCATTCTCCCTTCAGAATCTCCAAAACAGCCAACAGCCGGGATGCTGTTCCTCAGGATGGCCAGGGTAAGGGGGCTGAGCTCTGGAATTAGCCTGACTCTGGTTCGAATGGTGCCCCTCAAGGACTGCTGATGATTCATCTCTGTGCCCGCCTTCCTCATCTGAGACGTGGGTGAGACAGTCGTGTACCAATCATAGGATTGTTGTGAGGACTAAGTTACCAAAAAAAATAGATGCTCAAAGCCCTTAGCACATTCAGGCTCCCAGTAAATGTCCTGTATTTACATTGACATACTGTTCTAATTATGCATGACGATTGTCACTATTAGTCATCTTGAAAGTGTTAGATTCAGTTGCCATGGCTTGAGGGGCCAGTCCAGAAGGGACTCTGAACAGTGTTTCAGAGAGATTCTCCCCAGATGTGAGGGCAACGTTAGGGGACAAGGGAGGGAGTTTTCACTCTAGACCTTAAGGGATAAGGGGAGGAGTATAAGAGAGCTGCAGCTTTGGGAAAGGTGTCACCAATGGGGCCTTTGAAGAGGGACTCAGACACTGACAAACAAGGAATAAGCAAGGATGGAACCAGGGCCTTACATTCCTCAGCTTCTCTGTTCCAACAATCAGTTCTCCTCTGCTGCTGTCCTTGGTGCAGCCCACTAAACATCAGAGGGCAGGGGAGCATGAAGGTGTGGAGACCAGCCCTCAGGGGCCTTAACAGGGAGGGGCAGAGATCTGGAGGGGCATGACAACTCTGGCATACTCTGGCATACTCAGCAGTCAGTGATAGAGTGAGGCTGTAGCCCAGGCCATTCTCCTCTGGAGCCCGTGCCCTTCTGTTCTGTGCTGTCCTACAAAACCAGCTACAGAGCCTTCCCCCACAGTATTAGCTCACCTCATTAGTGGTAACCTAGCTTTCCCCTGACTACTTTTGTGAGTTCATGGCATGTTGCACATGTATGCTGGCTTGGGCCTCTCTTCAAGGGAGAGTTTGTAAGGCAGCGGCCATACATTTGAGCCATTCACCTTGGAATTTGGCCCAGGACAGATGCTTAGCACGTGGTGAACAAATGCTTTCCTCCCCCCCGCCCCCCGCAGCTGCTTTGCTCCCAACTGTTGTGTGGAAGCCACATAGGCAGTTTCCAAGCAGGGTGTGCTCCAACAGCACCTCTGCCTGGGTTCTGGGACATGATAGAGAGTCTGACTTAAGCTTCAGGCCCTGCTAGGCCCTAGGCAGGGTTGGAGAAACAAAGCAAGGCCAAGAAGGGCAGACTGGAGCACATGGGAGGACCTGGCATCCTCCTCCAGGCCTCAGAGAATGGCCCTGGTTCCATCCTTGCCTTCAGAGAATGGGGATTCTAGCTGCCTCTTACCCACTGGAGTAGACTCCAGAGAGCCTCATGTACACAGTGCCTGAAACCCCCCTCAGCTGTCCAGAGCTTTGTCTGAGCACCTATTGTGGGCCAAGCACATTGTTTGACTCCTCCAAGCTCTAATGTGAACCTGGATGATAGTCCATACCAGTCCCATTAGACAGAGAGCACAGCTGAGGAACTTGGTAAAATCCTGAAAAATCCTGAAACACAGGAGTGTCAGAGGTGAGGCCCAAGCCCCAACCTCATCCCAAGCCTCTTATATTTCTATTCAGGAAACTATGAGCCATCTGGGGGCTAACCTTGTCAAAAGAATGTTCCTTCAGCCTTCCATGGTTGAAGGTTGTTGCTGAGATTCTTCCTAAACAGCTGTAGCTGGTGCCTGAAGCTCCTGGGGAGCTTGACTTTGGTCTGTGTGATTCCCATCTGCAGACTCAGGTGGGTGCCCTGTAGCCCTAGCAGAGCAAGCCCTGCCCCAGACAGATTTTGCTTCTGATTGTCTGGGGCAGACCTGTAATACTGCATTTCTAGCCAGTTCTGCTGCTGTTGTGAAGTTGAACTTAGAGTAGCAAGGCCTTAGAACCAGCTCTTTTTAACCTCTTTTCCACCCATCATCTCCTTTTTACAACAAATATTTTGGAATAACCGCCCTAAGATTTTGAAATGAAATTCACAGAGGAGTTATACTACCTGTATCCCGAAATATATTTGATGCTCCAAAATTAAAGGGGAAATAAAAGGAAAGTAATTTATAACACAATAAGACAAATTTGAGTTTTGTGCTTCTTTTGAATAAATGTGAATTTCAGAGAAGGCAATAATTCTTTATATCTGACACTTGAAGTAAAGGCTAAATAAGACATGTTGTATATACGAAGATTCAGTATGAATATGACAGGGACAAGTAGAGACTGACACAGATGGGCCATGACTACTGGTGTCAGTGCCCCTTGAGGATGATATTCCTAAAATCTCAACTGTTGAAAAGGCTGCAGTCTACTCTTCAACTGCTTTTCACACCATTTAGACATTCGTTGTGTGTTAACATGGAGCAAAACCATACCTTGTGTTTATATGTAAAATGGATTTCACTCCAGTCCCTCATGAGCAGGGTTTTTTGTTTTTTTTTTCCTACATGGATGTCAGGAAGTTCATTCAAAGTTATGTGGGACAAGTCTTCATTTGTGGACTATCCTATGTATCACTGGATGTCCAGCATCTCTGCCACTGCCTAATAATGCTCAGATGTTGTCCCCAGTTAATGTGATATAAGTAACATCCGCTGAGACTTCCAGATTGTCTTTGGAGAGGGAAGATTACCCCCTCACCTGAAAACCATGAACTTTGAGCAGACTATTCCAAGTTCTGATATTCTGTACATTGAACTAGAGAAAACAAGCCTTCAGGGAGCCCCTGGAACAGGCCTAGAGGAGGGAGTCCTGGCACAAATGGGATGCTGTCCCTATGTGAGTCTTCTTCTGTCCTGATGCTCTCCTTGGGATGCAAGTGATTTTATCAAGTCCCTGTGTCCTAGCTGAGGAAGCAGAGGCATTCAGAGCAATGGTGAGTTGTCCAAATATTGCTCAGGGCTCCAAGTCTCCCCAGCCAGCTCCAAACATTCCACTGCAGGACCTCAATAGAAGCTCTCTGACCCTGTCACTGCTTCAGGGTAATTTGGGGGTGTTAACGCCCCTTGATGGTGCACAGGAAGGTGGCCCTAGGCTCAGAACAGTGGCATTGCAGAAGCAGATCTGCAGGTAGTTTCTTGTTGGGGAGGTCCAAGCTTCCAGTGAGGCCTTGGTTGCAAATCTTCCTAACCTTTTTTCTCAATGAAATTTAATAAATTTAATAACAAAAATGATGTGATGGAACAGAAGGGATCTGATAAATTTAGTCATGTTTTAAGTTGGTCAAAGACTTCTGATTCTGAAGATGTAACTAATAGCAGTTGCCTTTCTAATCTTAGAGCGAGCTAGAGAACACACACTGGAAATCTCAAAAAGTTCAAGGTGTCTATTTCTGATCATTCTGAAAGTGATAGCTTAAGATGACACTTATTTTCTCAAGATTCTGCAATCTGAGCTGGGCTTAGCTGGGTAGTTCTTCTGGAAGTGTCACCTGGAGTCACTCAGGTGTTGACTAGGACTAGAGATTCAGGGTGGTGCCTGGGGCCCACCTCTGAGATGGATGGAGTAGCAGGGCTGGTGGCATCTCTTTCTTCTCTGTCGTCTTACCAGCAGGGTAACCAGACCTTCCTACTTGATGACTACAGGCATGCCTAGACTGGACACTGACACGGTGTCACTCTCCCACATTCTATTGGTTAAAGCAAGTCATGAGGGCAGCCAAGTCTTAAGGGAGAGGAAGAATGGCAACTAATTTGTGGTATTCTTGAAGTCACCACTCAAAGAAGACTTTATTGCACTTTCCCACTGCAGACCCAATGGGAAACAAGGGATGCCCCTAGCTTTGGGAGGAGTAAGTGATACAGCCCAATCACTCCTGGAGACAGAGGCAAAATTGTGGCTGCTTGTGAGGCCTGAGGACTGGTGGTGCTGAGCCGTTACCCTGGCAACCAGTTAGTTTTCAAGGTGCATGCTCTGTTTGTATCTAAGCAGGGATGGGATGGAGTTGGGATGTGGAGACGGCAGCAATTCTAAAGTGGCAAGTTCCAGCAGGTGCCAGAGTGACAGCAGGGATAGGACACATACCCCCATGTGAGGCTGTGTCTCAGGAGGCTGCTCCTTTTACAGGGTGGCTACAGATGACCATGGCTGTCATTGGGAGCAGTCAAGCATTTGTGGGCCAAGCCACATGTGTCTAAAGAACTCACTGATCCTCAGAAATGATGTCACTAAAAACCAGCAACACTCGTACAACTCAAATATAGCATGCTCTCACTTTCAATCCACTGCACTATAACAAATTTACCTCATCT